GCGCGTATTTAGCATTGTTGGCTAGGGGACTCATCTTCATCCTGTGACAATCAAGGAACTAAATTTCGTTTCAAAACATCCGAAACAAGATGTGTTTCGGTAGATTTCGAGGTGTTTCAACCTATGTTTCAGAATGTTTGTATGTTTCAACTAATATTTCGGAAATAAATTTTCAAATTTTTTTTTTCCCATCTTGTTTCGGAAATGTTTCAGAAACATTTTTCTTCAAGTTCACCGAAACTATACACCAAGATAAAATTTTGATCATTGGACATAGTTCTCTTCTATGCTTTTCTAAGAAGCACGTACACGAATACGGAATACGGATATGACAACACATGGACATATATATATAATCATGTGAGAAATTAAAAATATTATCATAATAATCTTTTAATTCATCATTTTCCTAATTCTAAAAATTTACTTTATAATAGCACGGTATAAAAAATACAATATAAGATATATTGATACACATTCAACATTAACATCCATGATTGAACAATCAATAACTACTAAAACTTTTATTTTCAAAAAATATTCCACTTCGCAACACTAATTTTCATCAACTTCCACGAGACCTAATTTTGTAACCACATTTTTTCTCACATTAGTTTAATATTTAAAAGATAAATTCATCTGTATTTAAGTTCGTATTCGTATTCGTATTCAAAGTTATGTATCAGTTATGTCCTATGTTTAAGGTAATGATTATAATTTCTTTTACATTATTATTTTAACTCATATCCCTTTAAAATTATAAAAATAACTCTTCATTATAAAATTGCCTGAAAAGTTCTCAAAAATTTGAAAAAAAATCTCAAAACATGTCCTCGACGTGTCGGCCGCGTTTCCCCAACATATCCTCAGCATGTCCACCGCGTGTCCCTAATGTGTCGAAAATGTGTCTTGAAAAAAATTAAACAATAAAAAAATCACACTCATTTTAATGTGTCCAAAGCAAATCCGAAGCATGTCTGTGTCTTAGACGTGTCCAACACTGACACTTGCTGAAAATGAAGTGTCTATACTTCCTAAATGCTCTTCATTAACATTGGTGGAAGAATTATAGGAATACTCTGGTTCATAGTTGTTAAATCAAAATTCGTATCGTGAATCAGAATCTTAAATTTGTGAATCGTGAATCGTGAATCGTAAGATTCGACACAAAATTCATCCAAAGATAAAAAATAACATCTATAAGTTAAAATAAGCAATGTATTGAATTTTGAGTACTATTGAATTGTAAAAATAATTAATTGACATAATCACGTCGTCTAAATGGAAAGACGCTAGCCTTTATGGATAGAAAATGTGGGTTCAAATCCTACCGTGATTGATTTTTATATATTATTTGCAATTTGCAAGCCAACTACAATATAAAAAAAAGCATATATTAAGGGAATATGTATCTATCATTGATTCATTATAATTATATACTTCAATCAAAAGTCACTTATGGACCTATCACCTATGGTCCCAAAAAATGAGAGGTGCATACAACAAAAAGTGAAGTTCTAAGACTCATTAAAAAAATAGTAGTAGTCAATTTCTTCAATCTTCATTATCTCCAAGGTCAAGATCTTCATCATCATCATCTTCTTCTACTTCAACCATCTCTGTTTCCTCATCCTCTTCCGTTTCCTCATCATCAACCACTTCAATACCATCATCTTCATCATCATCTATCTCAACAACTTTAGCTTTGCCTTTTTTCATAGCATTTAAATTCCTTAGTCCTACAAATAATAATTGGTAAATGACTAAATGGCAAACAATATATAATTATATAAATATAAATATATAATAAACAATAAAGATTAAAGAATACCTCTTTTTCTCTTTTTGCTAGAAGATGCACTTTCATCAAGTTGAAAACATTCATGAACATCCATCCATGAATTGTATTCTGGTAGACATGGATCTTCACTCTTAGTAATCCACTAATCATCGGATTCCATATCCGATAGACAAATTGGATCATATGTCTCATTCTTTTCTTGTCTTTTGAATTGTCTCATTTCAAGGTGAATGTTGTACTTCAAATAAACGAGAGCATTTAATCTTTGTTGCTCCAAGCGATTCCTTTTTTTAGAATGTAAATGATCAAAAACACTCCAATTTCTCTCACATCCCGTGGCGCTACACGTGAGACTTAATACCCTTATAGCCAATCTTTGGAGTTCTTTGCAATAAAGCTATAAAAAACAAAGATTTAAACTAAAAAATTTAAACAAGATACCTATATAGGTTAGTTTATAAATAATGTAAAAGTAAAACTATGTTCTTTACTTCTTACCGGGTTGTTTCTTGTCTCTTGTTAATACGGCCATGTTCATAGAAAATAAACCGTCAGCCCTCTTGAACTTCTCTAGTTGCTCATCAATAGAGATTCTTGTTTCGATATCTAGGTACATTCTCTCAATGGTCCTATACAAGCCAACTTTTACTCCCTTATCTGCAATAAAATTTGAATCATATTGGAACCAAAAAAAAAGTTACTTCGGATTAAAATTTGGATCACATTTTATATATGAGTAAATGTAAATAGGAAGTATTTTTTGTGAACTTACTTGGGATTAAGAAAGTACCCCGCCGTATGAAGTAGCCCGATTCGTGCGATTCGGCTCCGATTCCAAACCCAAAACGATTCCACCATAAGATTCGACTCGGTTTGTCCATGAATCGAACCGAATCGTACAATTTGACTCGCGAATTGTACGATTTTAACAATGCTCTGGTTGCTTAGAGACTCCAAGCCTATAGAGAACATCCCATATAGTAATCTCATAGATCTACGTCTCAGCTCATCACTCTTCCTAGAGTTTTTGCCCTAAGTTTTTTTCTCAGCTTTATGGTGAAATTACCAAGTGAGAACCATCAGCCATCCCGAGCATCCATGTTCCAGGTAATCCCTAAAACCCTCCTAATTCCTCTATACCTTTTAGCAAGCCCTCTCGCCCCACAAACAAGACCTCCATCAATCACAGATTAGATCCAAGAACAGAACAAGGCTTCCAATTATTTACCAACCTAAGAACCAAATCACCCCATCACTGCCATAACTTCCCTCCCTTTAAAGGCCTCCAAATCTTTACCCATCTAGGAACCAAATCACCCCACCATTACCATCGAAACCATAACTTCCCCCCCTTTAAAGAACCCCTCCACTAAAAATCTTAACCATCTCATAAGCCCTCTATTGAAGACAACCGCAACTCCATCCCAAGCCAACACAGAACCAAGTCTCTTAGCGCCACCCTCGTCCTACCCCAAACACACAAATGAACCATAAGGAAACAAATGGACTCTCCACACCTTAACACCCAAACCCATCGGAGTCTAATAAATGCTACACCTCAACATCCAACCCAACTAATACCCAATATGGAACAAGAAGAAAACTCCCAGAAAATCAACCCCCCCTCTATTATCCCTTTTCTCCAACTCGGACATAATCAAAGAAATCAAATAGTTTTTCGTCATGGGAAAATCATCTCAAGTATGAGTTGAACAAACAAAGAGTGAACCATGTACTCCAGGGAGCATGGAAGACAGTGAAGGATTTTTCCACAACCCACTAGTATAGGAACATTCACCAATTCATGTTCAAGAGTGAAATACATAGAGACAAAATCCTCAATGTGGTCCATGGTCAGTCATGGGTGCTCTGCTTGTGCTCAAAAAATGGTCCCTAGAATCGACAATTAGAGACTATCAAAGCTTTGGATACAAATCTGGGGGTTACCCTTTGACATGATGACCAAAAACAACTCCAAAAGAACCAAAAGATTATTGGGGAAACCGACCTCACTAGAAGAATATCAACAAGAACTATCTACAAGATCACTGTGAGATAAACATCACAGAACCTCTAAAGAAGGGTTTCTACCTAGTCCAAGACAACCTCGATGACATTTGGATAAGCTTTCGCTACAAAAGGTTATCGGATTTCTGCCACTTTTGTGGAAGAATTAACCATTGTCAAAGCTTATGCCCTCATAGGAAAGTTGGACCCCAGCCCAATCGACCATCTTCTACAAAGAAAATTGGATAAAAAGGCTCATGGAACGAGGTCATATGCTACTCAAATGCCAAGTAAGTCTGCAGCGGTCATAGAAGACAGCCAGTCACTAGCACATGACACCAAACAAAACTGAGTTAAGTAGGTCAATGAGAGTTCCTATTTGATCCATTTCTTTTCTTCTTCAATTGATCATAGCTATGTTATTTCATGACTCCCACATGGTAAAACTGGGTTCCAAACCTCACTCTTGATACAAAGAGATTATTGATGCTTCATAGATTTCTGTCTTTCTATTTATCACGGTTGTTATAGCCGGCGCTCTACGTTCATGATACTGGGGTGGGGTTCCTTGAGATTAAGGTGTCAAGGCGGTCAGGAATTGACTAAGGAAGCAAGAGAACCTAAACGTTGATTTTCTTAAACTGTGTTGGAATTGGGGCAATTGAAGAAAGTCGTTTGGGGATTAGAACGCCCGACCTTTTACTGTCAGAAATCTGGTATTCAATGGCTTAAAGAAGGTGACAATAACACCAAACTTTTCCATGCAGTTGCGAGCAACAAATTGAAAAGAAGCTTCATTAGGAGAATCAAGGATTCAAAGAATACTTGGGTGGAAGATCAATTGACTATTGGTGCTTTAGCCAAAACCTATTTCTAAAATCTTCTTTCTTCGGACGAACACTATTGATAAAGCCATTTTTCAAGTCATTCAGAAATTTATCACTAAAGAAAAAAAATTCTAACTTAGCAGATTACCTGCTATAGAGAAAGTTCAGGATGTGGTTTCTCTATGTCTGCTGATAGTTATCCTAGACCTACAATCTAATTAAGGGGTGTATGGGATCCGACAAGAGAAGCGCGTTCTACTATACTATTGTATAAACTACCAGAGTCCATTACAGAACCTTCGCCCTATATACATAAGAGAATCGAGGTTTGGAACCACGTGCCCCACAACGAATCATCAATTACAATGCGTTCAGCGCAAAATCTAGGGCAGGTATACGTAACAAAGGGAATATTTCCTCCTATTAAGACACATGGCCAAATAGGGGAAACCCTTGAGCTCTACCAAGGAACAAACAAGGTAATGGAAGAAATATTGAGCAGGATTCACCATGATGAAAACCTTACCCTAATTCGAAACACGGTGGAGTTAGGTAACTCAAAGGATAAATGCCAAGAGGCGTCAAGCACATGTGGAAGTGTCTTAAATGCTATGGGCCTTGATGATCTAGATTTGGGTAAGGCTAGATATTACGTTACGGAGCCTCCAAAAAGCCCAATCCATAACACAGAAACAGATCATCCTCCCCACGAGCCCAAAAATATTGAATCCACATCCTCAACTCAGGATGACCCAAATCAATTGCAAAGAGATCCAAGTGGGTTGCGTCTAACCATAGACTTCGAAAGAATGACTCTAAAAGAGAAAAGCCCTAGAAAGAGAGATTTATACTAATATGTGGGAACATGTAAACCAACCTCTAAAGGGCGCCATTATGACTAAACTCCAAGCTCATGCAACATCCCCAACCAAAGGGATTGTCATTTGTGAGCCCTTTTCAAATCCTAAGCCTCAGTCAAGGAGGAAAGGTGGTCTCAGACTAGTGCAAAGAGCCAAAAGAAAGAGGAAAATTGGTACTAGGATCACTCAAAGGCGGCCCCATGTGTAGCATTCGTATATGCAGATATAGATTTTGAGAGAACGTAGAGAATTTAGAAGGCCTTAAAAGCTATTGCAAGCAACATGGAACTAGCCTAGATCATAATTGGGGACTTTAACACAATAGGGTCAATATGGTACAAAGAGGGAGGCAAGAGAGCAAGAATCAAGAAGGTTGAAGAAATGCGGGGCCTTAACTCTGAGTGCAAAGTCATGGAACTTGATTTCAAAAGATCAAGCTTTACTTGGTCGAATAACAGGCCCAGAAAGACTGGATAGAGTTCTAGCCAACCTAATATAGCATCAAAAATACCCTAATAACCAAGTTTTTCATAAACCCAGACTGAGTTCAAACACTGCCCTGTCCTTGTACATTTTGGCTTTCAACCGAAAAAGGTTTCGCATTCTTTCAAATTCAGGGCCATGTGGTTGGGCTCCATTTAGTGTGAATAGGTCATCAAACACAGCTAGAAAGATTCAACCATGTGGTTGGACTCCATTCAGTGTGAATAGGTCATCAAACACAGTTAGAAAGATTCAGTTAAAGGATCTGACATGATAGTAACATCCAAAAAGTTACGACCATGGAATCAGGATTTATGCAAGTGGAGCAAGGACGAATTTGGCAATAATAAGAAGAGACTAGCTGACCTCCAAGGGCAATTAGTCCAGATTCAAATGGTGGAACCCACAAAATAAAACATTATCAAATAGGCAGAGATAATCTCTAAAATAGATGTCATTTGGAACAAGAAAGAGAAGTATCGGCTACAACGGTCTAGAATCAATTGGTTGAGAGCATGGGATCAAAATACAAAATTCTTCCATATGACCACCATACAAAGGCACTAGAGGAATAAAATTATGCGGTTAAAAACTGAAGATGTCAATTGGATTGAGGAAGAAGATGACATCAACTCTCATATGACACACAAATTTGTCAAATTATTCTCACATTCTGGAAATAAGGATTTTGGAGAAGTTTTAGACACAATGCCAACATTGGCAACTGAGGAAATACTACTGAAAATGGTTACAGATGAGGAAGTGCATAAAGTTGCTACATAACTTGGATCTCTAAAAAAACCCCAGACCAGACAGCTTCACACGAATATTCTTTCAACAATTTTGGCAAATAATAGGTAAGGATATCTATAGCTCTCTTCGAAATTTCTTTAATAGAGGCTTTTTTCTTGCAAAACTAAATAAGACCAAAATTGTACTTATCCCCAGACCCCAAAGAAGTGAATCCAGAAATGATGTCTGATTATTGACCTATTTCTCTATGCAACTTCCTCTACAAAATCATGTCCAAGGTACTAGCAAACAGAATGAAAACTATCTTGAATCATCTGGTCATGCCAAACCAAGCCGCCTTCATACCAAATCGCCAAATCCAAGACAACATCATAGTGCCCAATGAGGCCTTCCACCACATGAAGCTAAAGAAAAAGGGTAAGCTAGCTCAAATAGCAACCAGATTGGACCTCAATAAGGCCTACAACAGGGTAGAATAGGACTTCTTAGAGGCAGTTCTTGCAAAATTGGGCTTTCGCCCCCATTGGATACAACTGATATCCCAATATGCTAGTGCGGAGAACTTTGAAGTAGTTACCAATGGAGAAATTTGTAGCTCCTAAAAATCACGTAGAGGATTACGTCAGGGGGATCCCTTATCCCCATAATTGTTTCTCTAAGTGGCGAATATCCTCTCCAGAATGATAATGAAACCAATTGAAGGAAAATGCATCTCAGGCATCAAACTTCGCAAAGAAACCCAACCCTATCCCATCTTTTCTTCGCAGATGACTCCCTTTTTTTCTTAAGAGCAGATGAAAGAGAAGGGGATCACTTACTGCAAATTCTATCCTCCTATTGCAAAGCCTCATGTCAGTTGATTAACTTCAAGAAGTCGACAATCTTGCTTTCAAACAACACACACCAGATGAGAAGCGAAGGAAGTAATGCCATACAATGGGGATATCACAGATGAGGATCAACACAAAGTACTTGGGGATTCTGGCCTTTTGGGGTAGATCTGAGTCTGCTACACTTAACTATCTGCTGGAAAGGATCCTGAAGAAGATATAAAGTAGGAAGCACTTATTCCTCTAGTAGGCTGGAAAAGAGATGTTAATCAAATCAGTGGTACATGCCATCCCAACTTATTCCATGTCTTGCCTGGCATCTCCCAAAAAGATTTGTGATAAAATGAGCTCTTATGTCAGGAATTTTTGGTGGGGAGACACAAGTGACAACAAGAAAACAAACTGGATGAAATGGGATAATCTTACAACAGCTAAAGCTCTTGGTGGGATGGGATTCAGGGATCTCCACAGATTCAACCAGTCATTATTGGCTAAACAATGTTGGAGGCTTATCCAAAACCCTAGTTCTTATTGGGGAAGGATGCTAAAATCTATCTACTTCCCCTCATCAGATTTTATGGAGGCCAAATTGGGGGCAAGGCCATCATGGATGTGGGGAAGCTTATTGATTGGCAGAATGCTTCAAGCTAAAGGCTTAAGATGGCAAGTTCAGAAGGGGGATAAGATACACTTTTGGCAAGATAAATGGATCTCATCAATTCAGGGATTCTCACTCACAACCACAAACCCCCTTTGAGCACTATAGACAAAGAGGAAGAGGTGATTGATCAACAACAAGGGAGGTGGAAATTAGATGTGTTGTTAAGGAGCCTAATCGCTGCATTGGAGTGGAAGGCAATTGAAGTTGTCCCTATTGCAAGAGGTGAGGGCGAGGACAAAAGAGAGTGGCATTTTGATCCAAAAGGAAGGTATTCAGTCAAATCTGGTTACCATTTAACCAGTAACCTAGAGAAGAGTCCACCTGCAAACCTCAGAAATTCATCCACCCAATATCACCCGAAGCTGTGCAAATTAATTTGGGAGACCAAAATCACCCCTCAAATCAAACAGTTCTAGTGGAGGGCATGCACCAACTCATTAGCCACTCAAGAAAACCTCTTCAACAGAAAATGTGTCTCAATTAAGCAGTGGATCTCTACATTGCTAGAAAATACACAGAGTTTCCAACAAGCAATCGATGCCATGAGCATAGTGGCCACAACAGGATGGGAAATATGGAAGGGGAGAAATGAAGCGCTCTTTAACCACAAGGAATCCAACCCTCTCATAACAATCTGCAAGGCACAAACTCTACGGGGGGAGTTTATGGGCACCAAAGATTAGGGACGATATCAGCATAAAGAACCAGACATCAATGGGAGTAATTGTTAGAAATGAACAAAGCTTGCTTGTGGAAGGACTGGGCAAGGCTACACCAGCCAAGCCATAATTGTAAGTGACAATGAGACAATGAGATCTCTTGCATCAACAGAAGGTGTTCCCCCCAGGGAAATTGAAGCCTTTTGTAATGGACACCAAACCCATAGCCAAACAATTGTCTCTACATTTTACCAACATCAATGGCCAGCTTATTGGGTCACTGCTGCAGTGAATAGCCTTTCTCTCCCATGTAATTGGGTAAGCGGCCCAACCAAGGAGTTACAAGACGTCTTAAAGTCTAATTGTAATTACTTTCCAATAGTAATCTAAAGGCATTGCCAAATTCAAAAAAAAATTTAATATTGCAGATTTGCTTAGGTTGATCAGTTGGCCTGGGGCTTGACTGTAGCATCTAAGTATCTTCGTGAGGTTTGAACCTTCGTGCACATCTGCCTTGATGAAAAACAATAAAACATTGACAAAGAACAAATGGGAGAGTGTATGACTCCTCCAAATATTAATCACATTAATGTTATCTATCTCCACTCTGCAATAATCATTCAAGGTAGAACATTTGCCACCAATAAGAAAAGGTAAGGGCAGTGTTATGAAAAGCGCACCTAGGCGAGAAGCGAGGCGAGGCTCGCCTGGAGGAACCCAGGCGAAGCGAACCTGAGCGAGGCGAGAAAAAAGCGAGGAAAAGCGAAAAAGCGAAGAAGCGAAAAAAGCGAAGAAGCGATCGCTTTTGTTATGCGAGGCGAATTTTTAATTTAGACCGTAGGATTGGGCGATTGCAAAAAAAATTTTAAGATGTTATTGTACCGAATTATTCCCTTATCCTATAAATAAAACTCCTAACCTAATTTTGTTAATTTTTTTACAGATACCTTCAATCGGTGCTTCAATCGGTGCTGCCTGCTACACGATCGATCGGTGCTGCCTGCTACACGATCGATTGGTGCTGCTCTCCCCTGCTTCGATCGATGCTGCTTCGATCAGTGCTGCTCTCCACTGCTACACGATCGATCGGTGCTCCTCTCCACTGCTACACGACGGATTTGGTGCTGCTCTCCACTGCTACACGATCGGTACTGTTCTCCAGTGCTACACTCCAAGGCTTCGAGTTTTCGCTACTTGTACACCATTGTTGTTGCTGGACTGAGGGTTTGGAGGGCTGGTCTGTGGAGGTTAGTCTCTTCTTCTTCTTTCTTCAATTTTTTTTTCTTCTGTCTTCTGCTCCTTCACCGATTCTGGTTTTTTTTTTTTTTTTTTTTTTTCTTGATCTGATTCTACCCCATCCTGCTCTGATTCTAACCTATTTTGCTCCGATTGTGCTTCTTTTTTTTTTCATTATGCGTCTGTTTTTTTTTTTTTTTTTTGCTTTTTCCTTATGTTGCTGTCCAAACTCCATTCTAAGGAGTTGCTGGAATGCTATTATTCGTAGTTGTACGTATGTTACATACCGATATGTACCTAGTTTTGTTATTGTTGCTAGATAAACAAGACTTATTGTAATGCAGCTATTTGGTTGGTAACACCTCTCTTCAATGGATAGCTCTGTGGCACTGGAATTTTTTTTTAAATCAGAAGTTATTTTCATAGGTCAAATTATAACTTTTAAAAGTGAAGTTGCAACTGAATGGAGTTAATCACGATCGATCATGAAATGTTGTGATCGGTCATTAATACTTCTAAAAGACGTAACTTTTGTGATTGATCATAATATTTTGACATCGATTATGTCTTTTACAGTCGTAATTTACACCCAAAAAATTATAACTTAATCATAAAAAGTTGTAATATTCGGTCGTAGTCTTCCTGTCTCTTCAATAATGAGATAGTCACCATGCATTGCTTGAAATATTATTCACACAGATATATGTGAACTTCCAGCACTACAACATGCTAATTGATGTCTTTGTATAACCAATCTTTGCTCTCATTTATGGCAAGATTTTAAAGGCCTCTTGTGACTTAACAAACAAATCATGCATCTTATTGGTAATAATATGGTCGGAGACTGCATAAGAATTATACAAACAAATGAAAATGCAAGACTTAATGCATTCTGCTTCTGTCCAGTCAATATGAAATTGCTCCTGTGCTGCTTCAATTTTTTTTTTCCTCAGTCGTCTGTTTTTTTTTTTTTTTTGCATTCTACTGCTGTCTTGATTCTGCTTCTTTTGTTGTCCTGTCCTGTCAATATAAAATTGTTTACAACTGATATAAAATGTGATTCAGTACATGTGAATGTGTTTTGTTCCTTTGATTGTAGTGTGATAGTGTTATTCATAAATGGCATCGTCGTCCGAAGGGAACAAAAAAGATCCGGCATGGAAATATGCACACTTGGTAAATCCTCAAAACACAAACAAGTTCAAATGCAATTTTTGTGGAAAAGAGTCAAATGGAGGTGTCTATCGGGTCAAGCAACACCTAGCAGGGAACTCTACGAGTGTTATTACTTGTCCAAAATGCCCTGCTCATGTTAGGGAGGAGATTAGAGAATACATGGCTAAAAAAAAGGAAGAGAAGAATCTAATGAACATGGTTTCCGACTTTGATGAGATGCCTAATGACTTGGAGGAGGATGAAGATGATATTGTAGAGATTGTTGCGAATCGTAAAAGATCCATGACTAGTTCTAGTCAAGGTTCTACACAAGCCACATCGAGACCAAAAAAACCAAGACAAAAAGGGCCTATGGATGTATACTTCACCCCTGATCCGAATGTTGTGGTGCAAAATCGAAAGACCAAGGGGAGACAAACGAATATTGATGCCAGCGATCCTTTTAGAAAGGAAATGAGAGAAAGAGCCATCACAACATTTGCCCGATGGATGTATGACACGGGAATTCCCTTTAATGTTGTGAACTATGAAAGTTTTGCAGCAATGGTTGAAACTTTTGGACAATATGGTCCTGGTTTGAAACCCCCTTCTTACCATGAGGTTCGGGTCCCATTGCTCAACAAAGAAGTAGGGCATATAAAGTCATTGATGAAAGATCACCAAGAGGATTGGGCAAAATATGGATGTTCCATAATGGCCGATGGATGGACTGACAAGAGAGGGAGAACCTTGATTAATTTCTTAGTGAATTGTCCAAAAGGGACCATGTTCTTTGAATCTGTTGATGCTTCTGCATACTCAAAGGATGGGCAAAAAATGTTTGAATTGCTTGATAATTTTGTAGAGCGTATTGGTGAAGCTAATGTGATTCAAATTGTCACTGATAATGCGGCAGCAAATGTGTTAGCAGGTATGAGCTTCTTGAAAAAAAAAAAAAGATAACTACTTGTTATATTGAATTTTTTTTATGCACACTAGTTGCTAAAAAAATCTTTATTTAATAGGTAAGTTTTTGGAGGCAAAACGACCAAATCTATATTGGACGCCATGTGCTGCCCACTGCTTGGACTTGGTATTGGAAGATATCTTCAAATTGCCAAACTTCAAGAGAACATTTGAAAGAGGAATAGCATTACACGGTTATATTTATAACCGTCCAACTCTGTTGAATATGATGAGACGATTTACCCAGTCAAGGGAGTTGATTAAGCCTGCAAAAACTAGATTTGCTACGGCTTTTCTTACGCTAACAAGGATCAACCAACAAAAAGGTAACTTGAGAAAAATGTTCACTTCAGAGGAATGGACTACAAGCAAATGGGCAAAAGAACAACAAGGCAAAAGGACAGCACAAATCATTTTAATGCCTTCATTTTGGAGTAATGTTGTCTACTCTCTTAAGCTTACTGGCCCTCTTGTCCGTGTGCTTCGATTGGTTGATGGTGAGAAAAAGCCTCCCATGGGGTACATTTATGAAGCTATGGACCGGGCTAAAGAAGCGATTGCTAATTCTTTTAATGGCAATGAAGAGAAGTACAAACACATATTTGAAATCATTGACCGAAGGTGGGAAGTTCAATTGCATCGGCCTTTGCATGCAGCTGGGTATTTTTTGAACCCAGAGTTTTTCTATTCCAATCCAGAGGTTGAGAAAGATCAAGAAGTCATGAATGGCCTATATAAATGTTTGGAAAAGTTGGTCTCAAATCCTGCGATACAAGATAAAATTGGTCAAGAGTTGAGTATTTACATGAAAGGTGAAAACCTCTTTAAGTTGCCCATGGCGGTTAGACAAAGAACAACTAGGGCACCAGGTAATCTATGTTATCCCACAAGCTTATTTCATTATCATTGCTTAAATATGTTAGTTAATTAATTGTTATTCATTATTCACAGCTGATTGGTGGAGTGCATATGGGTCTGCAACTCCAAATTTGCAAACCTTTGCAAAAAAAGTTTTAAACCTTACTTGTAGTGCATCCGGTTGTGAGCGAAATTGGAGTGTGTTTGAGCATGTAAGTATCATCCTCAAACCTCTTCAATTACATTTTTTTTTAATCTTATTATAAATTTTAATGTATTGTTAATAAATTATTGCAGATACACACCAAAAAAAGAAATAGACTAGCTCAATCCCGTCTCAATGATTTGGTGTTTGTTAAGTATAATAGAGCTTTGAGGCGCCGATATGATTCTCGTGACACAATTGATCCAATATCTTTGAAGGATATTGATGATAGCAATGAGTGGTTGATTGGGAGAATGGATGCAGACACAGATGAAGATAATGAGCTTGTGTTTGGTGATGATACTTTGACTTGGGGCGAAGTCGCTCGAGCTTCTGCAGTTACGGAAAGTAGCCAACGGACTAGATCAATACCATCTACTAGGGTAACACCAAGGTTTACAAGATCGACGACTGGACTCACAGATGAGGAAGACATAATTTCAGATGAGGCAGAGGAGGAGGATACTGAGGGATATGAATCTAAGGATAATGAAGAAGATGATTTCTTTAGTGATGAGGATTGATTTCTAAGTCCTTGAGATATTTTCTTTAGTTGCTTGAATTATGTGTCTTATGTTTTTAAATATTAGGATTTGGGATATTATTAGTATTTGTATGAATTTAAATGTTTAAACTATGACTGTTATTAAGATTTGCAATATTATTAGTGTTTATTTTAATTTAAATTTTTATGGTTTTACTTTAAATGTTTATGGTTTTACTTGTATTTAAATATTTAGTATATATAAAATTAAAACTTTGATGTGTAAAAGTAATTACACTAAAATATTTATTTATTTTTTTAACTGCTCGCTTCGCTTTGGTAAATCGTTTCGCTTCGCTTCTCGCTTCTCGCCTAGGCGTTAAGAGCCTTGGTCGCTTCGGTTCGCTTAACGCCTTAAATAACACTGGGTAAGGGGATAAGGGGGTCCATTGCCTTAAACCTCTCTGTGGTTTGAATTGGCACCTAGTTTTCCCATTAATTGTTATGGTAAACTGAACCGTGCTTACACATTGTTTAATCAATTGTATCCACTTCAGATGGAATCCCAATTTTTGCATTACAGCTTCAAGAAAATCCCACTCAAGTCTATCGTAGACTTTACTCAAGTCTATTTCAATGGCCATTTCTGCTTCTTCTTTTTTCCTCCTTTTTTCTTCATTTTCAGAAACTGTAGAGCTTCATTGGCCACTAAAATGCTATCTTAAATCTGCATGCATGGTACAAATGTAGCTTGATTGGGGGAGATCATAAGGCCCAATATTTAAGTCTGTTTGCTAGCACCTTCAAAATGATTTTGTAGCTAAAATTGCAAATGGACTATTGGCCTAAACTGGGTTATGGTTTCCAGGGAAGGTTCTTCGGGGATTAGCACTAAATTGGTTTTGTTTAGTTCTTTTAGCAAAAAACCACCCTCAAAGAAATCCCTTACAACATTACACACATCTGAGCCAATAGTGTGCTGGAATTTGTGATAGAATATACCTAGGTACCCATCTAGGCCTGGAGCTTTGATGGGTCCTAGCTATTTGAAAGCTCAGTGCACCTTTCCATCTGAAACTAGTTGTAGCAGCATTCAATTCATCTCTTCTATTAACACTGGGTGTACCATTGCTATGGCTTTAGACATACTTCTTGGGCCATCTACAGTAAACAATTTTTGGAAATGGTCATTGATATGAGTGTTTAGATCTTCTTCCTCCTCTATCCAGTTCCCATCCTCTGTTTTAATCCTTAGAATTTGATTCCTTTTACATCGCTGACTAGTAATTAGATGGAAAAAACTGGTTCTTTGATCCCCTGGCTTTAGCCAATTTATCCTCGATCACTACAACCAATGTTGCTCCTCTCTTCGTCTGATACCATGTATTCGAGCTTTTTGTTCCGATTCTCTCAAAATGTTTTCCTCCCATGGTTCAGTCATTTGGATTTGCTCTAGCTTCGTCATTCACTTTGCTACCGTTTCTTTGTTGTTACCAAAAGTTTTTTTTGCTCCATTCCTTTCATTTTCCTTTGCACTCTTTTAATTTGTTACATACCACAAACATATTGGAACCTGCAGGTCTTTCTGCGCAACCTTACCTGACTATATCCTCACATTTTGTGGTTTTCCAACCACATAGCTTCAAGTCTGAATTGGCGGGGCACTTTCTTTGGGGTCAATCCAAAATTGATGAGGACTGGGCTATGGTTTAAACCCATCCTAGGTTCATGATGTACTTGGGCAAACGGGAAGGTGATGTGTCATTCCAGATTTGCTAGAACCTTATCAATTCTTTTTTGCACATTTGTCTGGCCTGGTCTATTATTAGACCAAGTGAACCTTGGCCCCTGGAAGTCCAATTCTATGACGTTACAGTCACTGATCAGCTTCTGCATCTCTTTCACTTTCCGTGTGCTCTTTCCCTGAACCTATTACGTTGAAATCCCTTGTGATGATCCATGGCCTATTAATGTCCCATGACAATGCCCTTAATTCCTGTCAAACCTTCTGAGGTTTAACATAGTCTAGGTCTGCATATATGAAAGTTAGCAGGGACATAGTTGAGGGCTTGTTCATGATACCCACCACATTGATGATGTTTTTGTTTGAAGAATTCAGTTCTAATTTGAATTCCTCATTCCACCATAAGGCCAATCCTCCTGAGGTACAAATGAGTGCCACATAAATTCTGCTAGGGAATAGTTTGTCTAAGCTTTTCAAGTTCCTTTGCTTTATTCTTAGTCTCCATTAGGAAGACTAAGGTCAGACAATGGGTATTAATGAGCCCTTGCAGATTATGGACTATTCGGAGTCACAAGATAGAATTAACATGGAGCATGTGGCTGTTTTAGGCCAGCCACCACCACCTTGGGTAAGTGCTAGGCACTTGTGAGATCCAATGCATCATACAGATTTCCCTGCTATTCTCCCCTTGTTCCTCAATTGTAATCCCTTCCTTTTCATCTTGCTTACTGGTCTGTTGTACTACTACTTCAATTAGATTCTCTGGTTCTTTCCTGGAGAAGGGGTTCTTTTTTGTATTACTTTTTCCTGCTTTGACTCTTACTCCTTGCATTCTTCTTGTGTAAAATCCTTTAGGACTTTTGCCTTTGTTGTTGTGCCAGTGAGCATTGTGCAGCTCTGGAACTGTTGGTTGGCTTATTGGAAGACTCTCTCTCAGTTCAGCCATCCTATTTGGGTGTTTTCAATGGTGGGAGTTCATTATCCTCTTCTTCTATTACCTGGGCTTTTCTCTTCAAATTCATTTTTTCCAAATCCAGTATTACTTGACACCCTTCTTGGCCTGGTCATAGAATTAGATTTGTTCATTGTGGAGGAGAGGCCAATCCAAGCTCTAGTGTGTTTTTTGGTTCATATTCTAAGCATTGGGTTGTGATGGGTTTGTTGGGTTTTAAATCCACTTTGGTTTGGGCTTTCTGGTGGCCTAGTCACAAAGTATCCAGCTACATTTGGCTCTTGTCATTTGGATCATCTAACTTCCTTGGTCCAAAAAGTCCCATGGTGTTTATCTTCCCTTATTACTGACCCCTTGTTTTTCTGGTACTGAATTTGATATGATTTTGCCCATCAAATAGAATTGTTTGATTTCTTTGATTGGGGATGTGGACGAACATAAAGAGAGTCTGGGTTAATTGGTTTTGTTTGGGTTAATTTCCTGTTTCATGTTGTTGACGGTCTGAGTTAGAAACTGGTATGGGTAGAAGTTTTTTGGTGGTATTGTGATGGATTTTGTGAGGTTTTTGTTGTTGTTATGGTGGAAATGATGGGGGTTATTTGGGATTTTGGTTACTGGTTTAGTGGATTGGGTAGAAGTTCATGGTGGTTGTAGATGTCCTGGGTAGAGTTGAGTTGTTTATGTCGGTTTATTTTGGGGATTTTAAGGTGAAGAATAGGCCCTGAATTTGAATTTGTGGACTAGCAGGTGGCGATGGCTTTTGGCCTTTGATTAATCTTTCTGGTATATTAGCTAGGGTTGGGGATATGTAGAAGCATAATGGGTATTAGTTTCGGTGGAGATAGAGAGATGGCCGTTGAGAATTTGAGGGTGGTGACTGAGGGCTGAGGGCCGGATGGATTGTGGCGAAGGGGTTTAATAGTCGAAGAGTAGGGGGATTCTGAAGGCTTGCTCAGAGAGAAAGTCTGTTAGAGAGAGAGCTCCCATTCTAGTGAGAGAATCCATCTCTGGTGGCCAACCTCTCATTAAATGCACCACTTTATAGTGCTAGATCCATTTCTTGTAATGGCTCAATTATAGAGAATAATAGTGCCTTCAAAAGCTATGGTAAACAAAATGAAATGACTGTCTCCTTTGGACATCCAAGTGCATTATTCATTTGTAAATGAGAATTTTAAGTATGACCATACAAAGAAAAATGAAAATAAGGAAGGTCCAAAGTCTAATATATGGAATATTCAAATGGACAAACAACTAGGGGTCCAAAACAAAAACACTGGAAAATTTACCTGGAATTCCTCGTAAGGGTTGAAGAAAGGATTGTGATAATTCAAAGCAACCACAAAACCTATAGCAACCTGCACACCCACCCAAAGAAAAACTATGTAAATTAGCCTTTTAATGCAAAATGAAAATTTCTTCAGTAAAAATAAAAAATCCAATGCTATTGCTTTAGAAATGTTGTGTACAAAGTAGCTTGAGCTCTGACAAAAAAAAAATGGCTATTTAGTCTAATAGGACAGACATCATAATTTAGAAAAGGTGTTCTCTCTCAAGAAGAGTTGATTTGAGGTGAATCCATACAGCTGAGAGTTGAGACAGGAGAGATTCTGGTGATACAGTTTTGCTCAAAAGAAGATGATGTCAAGCAATGGCTGCTCTAAACATGGTTTTTTTTACTATAAACCCTGCTTAATCAAAGAAGTTCTCCACATCAAAAAATCACACTCTGGAAGAGATTCTGGTGCTATAAGCAATCACAGAAGTCCTCCACTCTTCCTATACAAACTCTGAACAAAAAAAATTGTACATAATACTCATGCCCTTTTCTTGAATACCTTGAGCGAAAAAACAGCTTTTAATCAAGTGATTCATCAAACTGTAGACAACAGTAAGTAGTCATATTAAGTAGAGTTACCCCGATTTTACTTTTCGTTAACACATTCATTTATAGATCTTTTTGGCTTGTATGGATCAGTCCACGAGTGGTTCACCACCTTCAGTTGTGGTTTTTCCCAAAATTTAGGAGTCAAATATGGGTCAGAGTTTGTTGGTATCTTCCAATCCAGCAAAAAGGCAAACAGAAAGTACCTGTCTATCTGTCATATGGTACAAGAAAGACCCCCCATAGGTTTTGTGGTCCAAGGGCCAACCCACCGTGTGAAGCACAGAACCAGGTTTATGTCTGCCCGTGTCAATTTCCCATACCTGAGAGAAAAATAGCTTCAGGAATCTGGTACAAGGAAGAGAAATTTTTGGTATACATTGAGTAGTTGAGATGAAAGAGAGTCTTCTTTACCAACCTCAGATTCTTCTTAAATTATGAAACAATGAGATTTTCAGCCCATCCAATAACAAATAAGGCAAGCAACTCATGGTGTTAATTACCTCTTTAATGCCTAGAGCATAAGTTTGATGTTGCCCCTGCCCCATCTCTCTCAAGTTGTATTTTCTCATGACTTGCTGTCACCAAGAATTTGTAATTAGTTAAGCAGTTTGAAACTAAAATTGACTGAAAAACTGTTGAAACTGTGGCTGACACTGCAGCACAAGGGTCCATTTTTGCAGACCTCTGATAATGATCCTCGACATCCTTCAGCAAGAAGATTAACACGTCCTGCATACCAACCTCAAATTGATCATTAAAAGGGAGCTAATCTATTAAGAAATAAAATATGAAAGTCGAATTTATTATAGGTTTTTTTTTTGGGCATTGAACCCAATATTTTGTTGTATAACACATTTATTGGAAGGTGTATACAGAGGCATTAAAGGCTTAAAGAACACTCTCTGTATTCAGACAAGCTATGAGCACAAATGAGTATAAAATAAGACATGGCAAGAAGTTATACTTGTTTACATGCAGCTAGAAAGATTATTTCCTCAAGACTTACATAAGTGTCAGTAAGAACTAGAAGAGATGTTCCCACCACAGCCTCCACTGCTTAGTGTGGAATTAATTTAATGATTACAACAAATGAGAGAACCATGCTAAAAAAGCAGAGAAGGAAACAGATGTGAGCAGCTAATCCTTCACTTAAAAATGATACATGTCTAATTTACCAGCATGATTTACTGCAATACTAAAAAGTACTTCTAAGTTATGGGCTGACCAATGCAAGGTTGCAAGTTCTACCCTTATGGCAGCTACTTGGTGCAAAAATAGTCCAAAGGTTGGGTCTACACCCAGAGCAATCCCTTCTACTTCCTTTTGTAGACAAGGACCAAACTGAGTAATGTAAAATGCTTTTATGTACAAGTTATATCACAGGTAGTCCTAGAAAGGGACAGCATCTATGGTGTGCATGCTTCACCTTAGACATATTTATAATGCTAAAATAAAACAAGGACCAGAATATGATAGGTAACAAAACCTGCCTTTCAACTCTACACCACGCTGAAAGTTGTCTTTCTTAGAACCATCTTTGGCAACTCCCATATCATTGGTTGCAATGCCAACAACCTTGTCACTTGCATTGTATAAAATCTGAAAGTGTTTAACTTGTTAATTAACAAAATTTAAACACAAATTCAAAACATGCCTAGCAAACGTATGGGTACCTCACTAGCAGCAAAACCTGGATAAATTTCAACTCCTAGTTCTTCAGCTTTCAGTCCCAACCAACGCACTAATTGACTCAAACTGCATCACAATGCCTTAATTGTAAAATGCCCTACATAACTAAAGCCCTTTAAAATTGGAAAAAGAAACAAGCAAATGCAGTTGCAAATCATAATACATAGACATGAATAATGAAGCATTAAGCAAGAAAAATGTCTCAATCTTGCATCGCCACAGTAGGTAATTCCGTCAAAGTTGGAAAAAAAAAAAAGTGGTGAATCATTTTCAAGTTTCAAAACTACAAACTAGCAGGCTTCATCAATACACAAGCAAAAAGAAAATAAATGGGCCAGTCGTAAGAAATGTGCAACATCCCAGACCACAATTTAAACATACTACATTCAGACATCTTGGGCTGGCACATCTACATATTGTTCTGGAGCAAGAAACCCGGAAAAAAAAAAAAAGATGATGAATAGATGATGAATGATAAATACAGGAGAAAAAGCCATACGATAGAAGATTCTTTGGATGACTACTATGACCACCTAGATCATAGGTTCGCAGAAACATAGTGCAGTAATTTTTTAAAAATTAAAACACTGGTACCAAAGCATAGCAAAATAAAGTCACAGAGAACTGAGATTTGAGAACAGTCATTAAATCTTTTGCCAGGTCAATTGCATATTGATGCAATATATGTCAATCATTTAAGATTTGTAAGAACATCACATCATTACCTTATAACATAGTTTCCGTTGTTATCAAAAGGACATGGAAGTGAAAATGCTTGGTTTTTGGAAAGGAACCAAAACTTATCAGAAGAAACAGGGATGTGAATTGGTGCCTGCAAACAAGTAAGCAAAAACACAACCAAACTTCAGCAAAGGATGAAAGTATTATCAATACACCAAAAAAGGGAAAATAAAGAACAAGTTTACGTAAAGGTACAAGAATTTGTTTTAAAAATACCACATATGAAATGACATGTTGCTTAGAGTTCTTTCTTGAGAAGCAAACATCCTTATGGTATCACTTCTTGACTTTGTTTTTTTTTTTTTTGGGTCAGAGTATCACTTCTTGACTAGAGTTGTGGAATTCAGTTACGACATCAACAGCTAACACATACACTTCTTTGTCTCTCTAAAAACACTAAAATGTTCCCCTTTTGAAATTATCTCTCTTGCAACATTCAATTGCATGCCTCAAAATGGATTCCATTGAATCTCCCTTCTCTCTTTGAGGGAGAAGAGAAACAATAGTTTCCTCTCCCTTACATGATTTTAGCTTTAGGAACAGAAGAGTTTCTTCAAACTGGGATTTTAGCTTACATGATTTTAGCTTTAGGAACAGAATAGTTTCCTCTCCCTGTTAGAGTATCCAACCCAAAACCAATCGGCAATGAGTGGAGTGTCCACTTAACAAACAACCATGCATATCGGGATCCAAATGGATAAGAGATTTGGCCCACTGACTACCCAAGGCCCAACTCTGATACCATGTTAGATTATGCAACTCAAAACCAATGGTTATGAGTGGAGTGGCCCCTCAAGTATATAAATCAACCTTGGTGGTCCTAATTATTCGATGTGGGATACAAGCTCTCTTAACAATCCCATTTCAAATCATATAATAGCCAAATTCCATGATATTTGCATTATGTTAAAAGAAACAAGCTAAATAACAGTTCATCAATTAGGAAGTAAAAAAAATAAGATCAAGTTTAGTCCCTGTTAGTGTATAACACCTGCAATGAATTTGTTACTTTTCTTCTATGGCTAAGTTAATTGGGAAACACACATCTCAATCTATAATGACATAAGGAGTGATGTAAAACAAAACAGAAACCAGACGTGCCTCTTCTTGTTTCCATTGTGGAAGAAGTTCATCCAATGCTCGGGGCTCAAAAACATTCCCCGATAGGACATGAGCACCTGTAGTACCAAATGGGAATCAAGAATTACAACTAACAGATGTTATCAATAAGGTGTTACATAGTTGAACTTCTTGGTTACTGAACCAGGAAATGCCAACAAATAGCCAAAAGCAAAGAGAAATAAACAAATTGATACAAAAATTAAGGATTTGTTAATGATTTTATTCCATTTTACAAGATAACATCTCTCTTTTTCTTTTAGTTGTTAATAATAAATCTGAAACTTGCAAGACTAGGAGGTGGATGCAGGGAGCAGCTTTACATGCGATGAAAACTAGACTGGAGGAGACAGACTGCCTCTGTGGACTGCATCTAGATCCGGGATCTTTGTTGAAAATTCTTACGAGTTATTTTCTCCTTTGGATCTTTCCAACATTTGTGAGTGATTTTATCAAAAGTATCATCCTTTCTGGAGGTGGCAGGTTGGTCTTTTGACAATGAAACAGCCACTTAAAATAAAACTTGACCGGCTACGGCACTACCCTGAATTGGTCTATCATATACTGACTTACCATCCATTTTCTTTACTCTTTCAATTGCAGCTTTGGCAAGGAATTCACTGGGTGTTGCCATTCAAAGTTGAAAAGCCTTATGCTCCCATAGTATTCTACCTAAGGAAGTAATAGATTAAAATGG